AAACAGGGCACTGAAAGCCAGTGCACTGGGACAACCCTGAGGGATGGATGGGGAGGGAGGTGGGAGAGGGCTTCAGGATGGAGGAGACATGTACACCCATGGCTGATTCATGTCAATGTATGGCAAAAACCACTACAGTACTGTAAAGTGATTAGCCTCCAATTAAAATAAATAATTTTAAAAAAGTCTACAAACAATAAATGCTGGAGAGGGTGTGGAGAAAAGGGAACCCTCTTGCACTGTTGGTGGGAATGTAAATTGATACAGCCATTATGGAAAACAGTATGGAGATTTTTTTAAAAAACTAGGAATAAAACCACCATATGAGCCAGCAATCCCACTACTAGGCATATACCCTGAAGAAATCAAAATGAAAAAAGACGCATGTGCCCCAATATTCATTGCAGCACTATTTACAATATCTAGAACATTGAAGCAACCTAGGTGTCCCTTGATAGATGAATGGATAAAGAAGCTGTGGTCAATATACATGATGGCATATTACTCAGCCATACAAAAATAATGCATTTGAATCAATTCTAATGAGGTGGATGAACCTAGGGCCTATTATAAAGAATGAAGTAAGTCAGAAAGAGAAAGATAAATATCATACACTAACACATATATATGGAATCTATAAAGATGGTAGTGATGAAATTATTTGCAGGGCAGCAATGGAGACACAGACATAGAGAGCAGACTTATGGACACAGTGTGAGCAGGAGGAAAGAGAGAGTGAAATGTATGGAGAAAGCAACATGGAAACTTAAAATACCATATGTTAAATAGACAGTCAGTGACAATTTGCTGTATGACTCAGGGAACTCAAACAGGGGCTCTGTAACAACCTAGCGGGGTGGAATGGGGAAGGAGATGGGAGGGAGTTTCAAGAGGAAGGGGACATATGTTTACCTGTGGCTGATTCATGCTGATGTTTAGCAGAAATCAACAAAATTCTATAAAGCAATTAACCTTCAAATAAAAAAATAAACAAATTAAAAAAAAAAAAAGAGTGGAGCAGGTATACCTAACCCATCCTGAGATAGGACAAGGCATTTAAGTTGGGCTTTCCATAGGAGACGTCACCTGAGCCTGACAGAAGTTAGCCCAATGAAAGAAGATAGGAGAGGTGTGGAGAAGAACCTTTTTTTTCCTCCTGAGAGCACTCTTTTTTTTTTTTTCCTAATTAATTTTTATTGGAGTATGGGCTTCCCTGCTGGCCCAGACTGTAAAGGATCTGCCCGCAATGCAGGGGATCTGGATTTGATCCTTGAGTCAGGAAGATCTCCTGGAGAAGAGAATGGCTACCCATATCAGTATTTTTGCCTGGAGAATTCCATGGACAGAGGTGCCTAGCGGGCTGCAGTCCATAGGGTCAATAAAGAGTTGGATACAGCTGAGTGACAAACACTTTTTTGCTTTCGTAGTTGATTTACAATGTTGTGTCAGTTTCTGTGCACTGAATCGTATAACCACTCTTTTTTAGATTTTTTTCCCATATAGGTCATTATAGCTCCCTATGCTATACAGTAGGCTTTCCTTGTGGCTCAGACGGTAAAGAGTCCGCCTGCAATGCAGGATATCTGAGTTCAATCCCTGGCTTGGGAAGATCCTCTGGAAGAGGGCATAGCAACCCACTCCAGTATTCTTGCCTGGAGAATCCCGTATACCTGTACCAAGGATCCTGGTGGGCTACAGTCCATGGGGTCGCAAAGAGTTGGACACAACTGAAGCAACTAACATATGCACATGTTATACAGTAGATCCTTATTAGCCATCTATTTTAGAAGAGTTTTTTAACCGAGGGATAATATGAACAAAGGCATGGTGGCTGAGCAGATGCTGTTGCTATTACTGCTTCTTCATTTCTCCTCAATTCTCCTTACCATTTCTGAGCATGCCAACCTCAATACTCACAGCCAAGATCTGCACATTCTTGGGGAGTGGCTGTGCCTGTGAGCATAGCAGGCTGGGGATGTCTGAGAATGAATGAGTGCTTCTAGCCCTTAGTCAGCTACTGATGAGTATTAGCATATGTATGTGTATATATATATATTCCCATTCTCTGCCCCTTGACTAGGATATTCCTGTGGGGTGTACTTTATACCAGTTCTGTGGGATTGCGGTGACCTACTGTGGTAGATTTAAAAATGTACCTATTGTTGGCTAGTTCTCTTTCCAGTGTCACTTCACTTTCAACTGTCCCTTTTCCTTGAAACCTCCAACAAACTGCTGGTCCTTGAAACTTGGCTCAGGGTCTGCCTCTAGAAGAACCAAGAGGAAGACAGTGACTACTTCCCAAACTCTAGAGAATAGAAATGATAGTCTTTGATCTGCCTTGGGAGATAATATAGCAAATCAGATTGGTTATAGGGAGAGGTGATCAGGTTTGATAGTGAAGGAATTTGAATTCTAGGTTAAGAGACGTGGCTTGTGTCCAAATTTCTTTTGAAATCTTTGAGTTTGGGGATAAAATAAGCAAAAGGATGTCAGAGTATGATTAATCTAACTGTGATATCTGGGGCAGGAAGGATCTAGAGGGAGGGTGATCAGTTAGGAAACAGTTTAGCACAGTTAGGAGTGCCTTAGTGAAGTGGCAGTAACAATGGAAAGGAACAGAGGAGAGAAAATATGAGGGGAAAAAATGACAGAATTAGGAGTCTAGTTCTGTGTGTTGTGGGGAGGGAGGTGGGAGGAGAAGTAGAAAATGTCTGAGGCTTTGTGAGTTAAAGAGCAGCAGTATCATTAACAGAGATGAGGAAGCTATTGAATAGGATTTGGATTTCATGAGTTAAAGACATTTGGAGTTTGTGCCAGTGGAATGTCCAAGTAGAAATGTTCAGCAGGCAGCTGGAAATATAAGAAGGCAGGAAGGATTTGGTTTCAGAATTGAGACTCTCTCAGACAGCGATAAATGTGTCTGGATATTTTGAAAAGCCCAAAGAAACACTTACTTTACAAAAGTCGTATAGTCCTAACCTTGTGATTCTCAGTAGAGGAGGAATATCATAGTAACCTGCAATTATTGGTGGACTTCACAGTTGAAACAGACAACCCCTTGTGATGTGGACAGGCTGAAGGTATGCATGAGGGCAAGAAGGGGATTGAGAGGACAGAAAGCTAGGTTCTAACCATTGCATGTTCTTGAAGATAGCAGACAACCAGGGAAGTGAGGAATCAAGTTCAAGGAGTTTGGAAGAATTCAGGTGCAGTAGACAGGTTTGCAATTCTGGAGACTGACATTTGGCCAAAAGAACAGTCGTTTCCAGCAGAGTCCTTATATTCAGAGGACTGATGCTGTTTGTTTTTGCCTAGTTTTATGGAGCAGCGTTGGCCAGACACAGAAAGATGTTATTAAGGAATCCCTTCTTTAGCCTTTCTTCTTCAGGCTAAACAAACCTTATTTCATTCTTCCAGGTCATACTTTCCATTTCTTTAATTATTTGTTACTCTTCTCTGAACTTTCTCTAACTTCCCTCTTAAAATACCGAGACCAAATGTTACAAACACAGTAACAGCTCTTAGATCTGGACACAGGAAATGCTTCTTTATCTAAGGTGTCACACCCAGGCATCATTTCTTTGCTGGTTTTCCACCTGTTTTTAATGTGAACATCAAGTATTCATCTAGATATCATGCTAATTTCAGACACAACGTGATCATAGTGAAACATTTTTTTCCCCCCAGTAATTTTCTGTTTTAACTTCAAAAGCTCGGAGTTGGAAAGGGTATTGGCTCAAGTCAGTCTCCTGAGCCCCCTCGCATCCCTGCCCTTATTTTAGGAAAATGGAAAATTGCCATACTGCCGGTCTGATTCCTTTCTCCCATAAAGTAGGTAATGTCATGACATATATGAGGTAAATTGTCAGGCTTTTACCTTATTTGTGCTTTTGCCTCTGCTCATCCCAACAGATGAAACACTGGGCTAGCTGAAATGTGATGAGAAGTAATACATTAAACGGAATTCACTCAGACATGAGTCAAAATTGGAAGCAAGGGAAGACGCGCCAGGGAGCCGCGAGATGGCTCTGACCACATCTCTGGGAGTAATTTTCCATGTGGACCGCAGGAGGACCTTGTAAGGCACAGCCCCGGGTTAAACATGCTGGACTCTGACTCCGCAGAATTTAAAAGCCATTACTGGAGAGAGTCTACGGCTCTCCTGGCTCGGGCAGAGGAAGAAATGTTCAATGGATAATAAAAACTTTCGGTTTACAGAGTAAAGTAAAAACAGGGCCTTTCTTTCACAGGGTTTAGAAACTCGCCTCTGCGTTAACGGGGGTGTGGGGTGAGAGTGTGGGTGTGTACATCTCCAGGGCTCAAGGCCTGGCGAGGCACCACTCAGCCAAGATTACCGAGATTTGTAGTCGCTTCTGACCCGAGGGTAGGATCTAAATCCAGGGGAGAACAGATTCGCACCCTCTAAGGCTACCGGGAAGCTCGGGTCACTGGGGGAACTCAGAGTAGGGAGCGGGGAGCGCCGCCGCCGGCCAGACTGCGGGCGTCTCCTCCCCGCCGCCTCAGGCCCACTCCCAAACCGAACGACAAGCTTCCTGGTTTCATCCAGAATCCCTGCGTGAGCCTCCACACGTAGCCGCAGACGGCTCCTTAAATAGGTCGGAGTGGAGCAAACAATCCCAGACGTGGTGCTGGGGCAGGCGAGCCGAAGCGACCAGTGCACGCAGCGGCGCGGCGGGTCAGCCGGCGGCCAATAGCCGGGGTGCAGCCCGCCCCGTCGCCTCCCCCTCGGGGAGACTATAAATCGCACGCGGCGGCAGGGGCGCCCGCCGCCCTGTGCTTCCCAAACCGCCGGGTTTCCCGCGCCGCTCTCCGCCCTGCTCGCGTTGCCGGCCGCCGGCCCCCCGCGCACATTCTGCCCGCTCGCTCCCTCCTGCTGTCCTCGACCCGGGGCGGACCAGGGGTCCCCGCTCTCGCGAGAAGTGCGCCGCTGCCGGGCGGCTGGGGTGCCGGAGCCCGCGCGGGCCCTCGAGGGGCCGAAGATGGGGTGGTGCTCCTGGAAGACGCAGCTGCTGCTGCTCCTGGCGGCGCTGATCCTCCAGCCCTGGAATCCCTGCCTGGGTACAGACTCCGAGAAGCCCTCCAGCATCCCCACAGGTGAGCGCTCCCGCGGGCCGCCCTGTCCCGCGAGGCTGGGCCGGATGGGCGGTTCATTCATCCGCTGGCCCTTCGCGTGGGGCCCGCCAGGTGAGTAGGTGGAGGGGGACCCGTCCCTCCCAGGTCCGCGGAGGTTGATTTGGAGCGAGTCTGTCCTTCCCCCAGGACCACCGAGGGGGGTGGGGCGGACTGTTCTTTCTTCCCAGCACCGCCCAGGTCTTCCCCAGATCTGGGCTCCGGCTGTGCTGGTCCCTGGAGGAATGTAGGAGCATCCGCCCTCATGGGCTTTTGGAATCCTCCGGAACCCAAGAGCGCACGAAGTTTTCTTCAACACAAGTTGGGGGTTTCATTTTGGACTTGGAGGTCCCAGGGTTCCAACACCTTTCCTGCAACTTTACTTTCTCCTCTTTTGCTGGAGTTGGCAGGATTTATCCTTACTGGACGAGGTGGTACTCCCTCTGTGACCTTAACACGGGGCTCAGTGTACTTTCTGATTGATGGTGACACATTCCTTCCAGCGCCCCAGGAAGCTGCCGGTAACACCTACCACCTGCCAAAAACAACGCTCACAAACCTTAGTTGTTTTCAGTAAGATGGCTTGGCTACCTAATACCTCCCTCCGGGAGGCAGCTTTCCTCCTTGGGGATTTGGAGGGGACGCTTCTCTTGCCTTTAGGCACACTCTCCCTAAGCCTGATGCTGTTCCTTGTTTTCAGAAGTTGGAACTGCAGTCCATAGTTGAGTCAAGGTCATCTAAGACACAACTTTTTACATTTAGCAACATTAAAGAGAACCTCACCACATGTTCGTGGAAACATACTTTGCATCCATTTACTGCACATGCGATATCCTTGGGCTTTTCCACTTTTGTACTCTAACTCAATGCTCTCTGAAATTAGATCTTGCATTTAAATGTCCTTCTGTATTGCTTTTTTTTTTTTAAAATTAAGATCATTTTGTCTTTTGGGGGTAGGTGAGTAAATAGGGCTCTTTCTGTTTGAATTTTACTTAAGCACAAGGACAGAAATTTCTATTTTAGGTCTACATTCCGAAGTTGACATTTGGTGTAAAACCTGATCGGTCTATGTAAGCAATACATTTGTCTTCATCTGTAAGTGTTTCAGAAAACTGCCGTGGAGTACGTTGCCCATCTTTCTACATTCCTGCCAAACAACAAACAGTACATGCTTTGTTAGCTTGAGAAACTTCAGCATTCAGATAGATTTTTGTCAGTTACAGGACACTTTTATTTTTCTCAGGTATATGTGATGGCTTCAAAGTGAGTTTCTCAACCCTTTGTGGTTCCTTTAAATTTGAACTAAAATTTTTTCATTACTTTAAAATTATCTTTTAGTGTAACATCTAGACAAGAAAATGCCTTCAGCAAACTTGGAGACAAAGAATAATTCCCAGGAAAATGACTTTCTTTGCTGAAACACCCAAGGAAACTTACTGGGAAATAAAATAACCTCTAAGGGTTTTGCTGCTTTTAGAGGGACCTCTTCAGCCTTTGCATATTTTATTTCACTTTATTCTCAGCACTCCTTACTTTTTATAGAAGACATCTCTTTGTGGTTGCATTTAGGTTTACATTCAAAATCATCTTCCTTTCCTAATTTGACTTTTAAGTTTCATGGAGGTGGATTGTAAAGTTTGAATGAATTGTGACATCAGAGAAGGAAATTTCAGATATGAATTTTTTTTTTTCAGAAAGTGACCACATAAAACCCACTGCTGAAATCTGAAGACTGGTTTTGGTGAATGGGCATGGGAAATTCAGAATCACATAAATTCAGAAATATATTGACTTGTAATAGGTGGAGCCCCTAGTTACCAGTTTGATTTTGAACTGTTGTATAAGTAGATGTGATAAGCTAATATATATATATAAATAGATTGTACAGTGCTTGATAACAGAGGGAGAATCATGGATTGTGTTCCATTTTCTTTCTAAAATATTACAACTGAAAATTGTTCAATTGAAAACTTTATGTCAGTATCAAGCATACTTCAGAACTCTGTGTTGTCTAGCTTACTCAATAGGAGGTGTTTAAGGAATACTATCATCTCTAACCCCCTATTTTTGCCAATATATCCCTGCTAGCCATGAAGAAATAGATTAGACCAGGGTTTTGTGGCCTTATTTACATTTTGAACCAGATAACTATTTATTGTGGGAGGTTACTCAGTACATTTTACAATGTTTAGTAGCATCCTTTGTCTCTACCTATTGGGTTCCAGGAGCACCCTTCTTCAGGTGTGAATATAATATATGTCTCAAAATGGAAAATAATCATATGTCTTCCAAGGGACACAATTTTCCAGGATTGGGAACCATTGGATTAGACAAATCCATTTGTATTTGAGGCCATGTTGTATTATAGTATGACTAGGATGATGTTAGCCACTCTAAACTTCCCTGATGGCTCAGACGGTAAAGAATCTGCCTGAAGTTCAGGAGATCCGGGTTCAATCCCTGGGTCAGGAAGATCACCTGGTGAAGGGAATGGCACCCCACTCCAGTATTCTTGCCTGGAGAATCCCATGGACGGAGGAGCCTAGTGGGCTACAGTCCTTGGGGTCGCAAAGAGTTGGATATGACTGAGCGACTAACGCTTTCTTTTGGAAACAAATATTTATAATGATTTTCGGTTTTTCCACTGTAGTAGAGAATGTACTGTTCGGATCATATTAATCAGTTTTGGACTATAGTTTTTCCTAGCTTTGATGCTGTGTGTTAACTGAAGTTGAAAATAATGCTTTTTGTTCTCTTGACTGAGAGTTCTGCTATGTACTGCATTCATTCCTGTTTGATTGCCACTTTATTCTCAACATGGAAAGACTCTGAAGAGGATTTGGTTAAAAATAATCATTTTCTCCTAGAATCATTTATAGGAATTTTGCCTTAAAATTTTATTTCCATGGGAGCTTTCGAGGCAAAACCCTCCTAACTTGTCAGCAAATCAAGTTCATTCCCTAATTTATGTTTCCTGAACTTTTCTGCCTTCTCAGTGAGAGAAGGAAAACAGTGGATGTATTGCTGCCAAGGAATTCTAATCAAGTCTCCAGACCTGGATCAACATTTTGTGTGTTTTCTAAGGTACCTTGACCATCCATGGTCTAAATTGGGCAGAAACCACGTCTTAGGGAAAAATGGAGGAAGTGGTTTCGGATGTTTCTGTCAAGACCAGTATTTTTCAAGCATGTTCATTTATAAACTCTTTAATTTACCCTGGCACATTCACGGAGGAAAGGGAAGGTTGTCTCTATCTGCTGATGTAAACTGGCAATTTATGGGGTGGAGAGGAAAAGACCAAGGTCCTTGCCTTGTGTTCATATAAAAATAGACATATGAAACAATTCGGGAGAATGAGAGGACCAGAGATGAAAATGAAATTAAGATATTCTTTTCTACCCATCACATTGACTAAAGCATCTAAAAAATAAATTCTGATCACACCAACTGTTGTGAGGATGAAGTTTCAAACTGTCAATGGAAGCACAACACTTTTGGAGAAAATTTAATAATATCTGGTGAAATTGAGAATTAACATATCCTATGTTGTACACCCTAGATGTACGTGCACATGTCTCTCAAATTTGTGTCTGTTCTCTTTGGAATTCTGTTCTTTATTTAAATCTAGCTCCTAAAAAATTCTTCCCCCTACTATCTTTTTTTTTTTTTTTGGCTTTCCTTCTAACTTCTTAATGCTCTTGATTTATACAAACCATATCTGCTTTGTAAGATAGATGTCTTTTTCCTTTTTATGCACCTCATACTACCTTTCCTGTTCTTTTAACACAAAGAAGATTCTCTGTTAATGTTTGATATGTTTCAGGCCACCTTGAAGAATTATGAAAAGTGGCATGCAGTCAATGGGATTGCTAGCTGTTTCTTTCCCTGAGGTTTTAACTAAATTCACTTTCTCTCCCTGGGACCCACACACCATCATGGTCAAGGAACTTACCCATGAAACATCAAGCTAGGTCTTGTTTCTGAACAAGTTTTTGGCAACTCTCCTCCACATGTGGCATTTTGTGCTCTACCTACCTTTCTCAATGTAAAATCACAGCTTCAAAAATACTTTCAGGTGGCTGGATACCATGATCCTCTTATAGACAGTGAAATGGATTTTTGGATGGTGTGTCATTTATAGAAGATCAGATAGCTGAAAGCAAAAGAAGAGGGCTTCTACCCTTTCTTCAGGCCACACTCCATGTCTTTCCTGACCATTGTTCTGTTGGACTTTTGGGACCTATGGGAAAAATATAGAAACTGGGCATCAGAGATCTGAAAGAAGCAAAAGGGCCACTTTGCTAAAGAGCACTAATTTGTAGGTTTGTGTAAATGTAGGGGAAAGGGACAGACAGAGCCTAAAGGAAACCCTTTGCTGATACTTGTAGCAAACTACAGCCCGTGGGCCAAATCCAGTGAACTATAAACAGCTACTTGCTTTTGTATGGCTAGTGAGCTATTGATGGCTTTCATATTTTTAAAAAGCTGAAAAATATCAAAAGAAAAATAACGTATCATAACATGTAAAAGTTATATGAAATCCAGTATTCAGGGTCCATGAAGATTGATTGGCTCATAGCCACATTCATTCATTAACGTATCATCTGTGCCTGCCCTGGTACTACAAGGCAGAGTGGAGTGGTGATTATTACAGAGGCTGTAGTGCCTGCAAATTAGAAATTATTTCCTCAGGCCTGTACAGAAACCCTTTGCCCACTTTCAGGAAACGATGTTCCCACTTAAGCCATGTCTCCTGCAGATCTGCTGTTCCCCTTGGAAAGAGTCGGATTGTGGACAGTAGCAGCTGGCTCCGGCATTTGAGAGGGCTGTTTTTCATTTTAGACTTTGCCAGTGATTTCTGTGGCATTTTGAATTCAAACAGAGAGCTTCTCTGTTACATCTTTTTAAACCTGGTGTTCAGTGCTAACTGGACATGTACTTTGGTGTAAATAGTGTGCTTACGATACAAAATGAATAAAACACTA